TCGTGCACATTCCATGTTCACCGTTAGTTATAGATAACTGTGATCGTGTTGACAAACCGTGTGCGAAACATGGTAATCGTATTCATGATGTGTATGTGTATGGAGTGTGTGATGTGGCGTGTTTGTGACTGAGTTGTTTAGTGTTGTTAGTATAGAGAGGGTTGAATGAGAGGGGGGGGGGGCTAGAGTTGAGGTTGTCATAGGTTTGGCGGTTGTCTGTAAGTGTTGTGGTATGATATGTGTGGAGTGTGTGATGTGGTGTATGACTTTGATTGTTGAACGTGTTGTGTGTCTGAGAGCGGTTGAGATGGAGGGATGTGGAGTGTGTGTGTGTGGATGTTGTGGATGTTTTTGGATTGATGGTTGCTTGTTTGTGTCTGTTGACAGTTCGAATGCACGTTGATGTTCCTTGTTGAATCGGCGAGGTATGTCCGTGTATTTGTAGCTGGGTTGTTTGAGTGCAGGAGGTGTTTCTAGTGCCTCTGTGCCGACCCACTGTCATACATAGATGTTTTTGGGGTACTGGAGTGTATTGCTCTGGTCTTACCCGTTCGTGCACATTCCATGTTCACCGTTAGTTATAGATAACTGTGATCGTGTTGACAAACCGTGTGCGAAACATGGTAATCGTATTCATGATGTGTATGTGTATGGAGTGTGTGATGTGGCGTGTTTGTGACTGAGTTGTTTAGTGTTGTTAGTGTAGAGAGGGTTGAATGAGCGGGGGGGGAGGGGCTAGAGTTGAGGTTGTCATAGGTTTGGCGGTTGTCTGTAAGTGTTGTGGTATGATATGTGTGGAGTGTGTGATGTGGTGTATGACTTTGATTGTTGAACGTGTTGTGTGTCTGAGAGCGGTTGAGATGGAGGGATGTGGAGTGTGTTTGTGTGTGTGTGTGTGGATGTTGTGGATGTTTTTGGATTGATGGTTGCTTGTTTGTGTCTGTTGACAGTTCGAATGCACGTTGATGTTCCTTGTTGAATCGGCGAGGTATGTCCGTGTATTTGTAGCTGGGTTGTTTGAGTGCAGGAGGTGTTTCTAGTGCCTCTGTGCCGACCCACTGTCATACATAGATGTTTTTGGGGTACTGGAGTGTATTGCTCTGGTCTTACCCGTTCGTGCACATTCCGTGTTCACCGTTAGTTATAGATAACTGTGATCGTGTTGACAAACCGTGTGCGAAACATGTTTATCGTATTCATGATGTGTATGTGTATGGAGTGTGTGATGTGGCGTGTTTGTGACTGAGTTGTTTAGTGTTGTTAGTGTAGAGAGGGTTGAATGAGCGGGGGGGGGGGGGGCAAGAGTTGAGGTTGTCGTAGGTTTGGCGGTTGTCTGTAAGTGTTGTGGTATGATATGTGTGGAGTGTGTATGGAGTGTATGACTTTGATTGTTGAACGTGTTGTGTGTCTGAGAGCGGTTGAGATGGAGGGATGTGGAGTGTGTTTGTGTGTGTGTGTGTGTGGATGTTGTGGATGTTTTTGGATTGATGGTTGCTTGTTTGTGTCTGTTGACAGTTCGAATGCACGTTGATGTTCCTTGTTGAATCGGCGAGGTATGTCCGTGTATTTGTAGCTGGGTTGTTTGAGTGCAGGAGGTGTTTCTAGTGCCTCTGTGCCGACCCACTGTCATACATAGATGTTTTTTGGGGTACTGGAGTGTATTGCTCTGGTCTTACCCGTTCGTGCACATTCCATGTTCACCGTTAGTTATAGATAACTGTGATCGTGTTGACAAACCGTGTGCGAAACATGGTAATCGTATTCATGATGTGTATGTGTATGGAGTGTGTGATGTGGCGTGTTTGTGACTGAGTTGTTTAGTGTTGTTAGTGTAGAGAGGGTTGAATGAGCGGGGGGGGGGGGGCTAGAGTTGAGGTTGTCGTAGGTTTGGCGGTTGTCTGTAAGTGTTGTGGTATGATATGTGTGGAGTGTGTGATGTGGTGTATGACTTTGATTGTTGAACGTGTTGTGTGTCTGAGAGCGGTTGAGATGGAGGGATGTGGAGTGTGTGTGTGTGTGTGTTGTGGATGTTTTTGGATTGATGGTTGCTTGTTTGTGTCTGTTGACAGTTCGAATGCACGTTGATGTTCCTTGTTGAATCGGCGAGGTATGTCCGTGTATTTGTAGCTGGGTTGTTTGAGTGCAGGAGGTGTTTCTAGTGCCTCTGTGCCGACCCACTGTCATACATAGATGTTTTTGGGGTACTGGAGTGTATTGCTCTGGTCTTACCCGTTCGTGCACATTCCATGTTCACCGTTAGTTATAGATAACTGTGATCGTGTTGACAAACCGTGTGCGAAACATGTTTATCGTATTCATGATGTGTATGTGTATGGAGTGTGTGATGTGGCGTGTTTGTGACTGAGTTGTTTAGTGTTGTTAGTATAGAGAGGGTTGAATGAGCGGGGGGGGGGGGGGCTAGAGTTGAGGTTGTCATAGGTTTGGCGGTTGTCTGTAAGTGTTGTGGTATGATATGTGTGGAGTGTGTGATGTGGTGTATGACTTTGATTGTTGAACGTGTTGTGTGTCTGAGAGCGGTTGAGATGGAGGGATGTGGAGTGTGTGTGTGTGTGTGGATGTTGTGGATGTTTTTGGATTGATGGTTGCTTGTTTGTGTCTGTTGACAGTTCGAATGCACGTTGATGTTCCTTGTTGAATCGGCGAGGTATGTCCGTGTATTTGTAGCTGGGTTGTTTGAGTGCAGGAGGTGTTTCTAGTGCCTCTGTGCCGACCCACTGTCATACATAGATGTTTTTGGGGTACTGGAGTGTATTGCTCTGGTCTTACCCGTTCGTGCACATTCCATGTTCACCGTTAGTTATAGATAACTGTGATCGTGTTGACAAACCGTGTGCGAAACATGGTAATCGTATTCATGATGTGTATGTGTATGGAGTGTGTGATGTGGCGTGTTTGTGACTGAGTTGTTTAGTGTTGTTAGTGTAGAGAGGGTTGAATGAGCGGGGGGGGGGGGCTAGATTTGAGGTTGTCGTAGGTTTGGTGGTGTATGACTTTGATTGTTGAACGTGTTGTGTGTCTGAGAGCGGTTGAGATGGAGGGATGTGGAGTGTGTTTGTGTGGGTGTGGGTGTATATACATTTATCTCGTCTGGAGAGTGGTTTTTCAAAAGCGCTAGTATTACATTGTTTTGACGTTTCAACCACATTAGTGTTTATTCTATGATTATTATTATTATTGTTTCCTTTGTTACGTGTAGGGATGTAGGGCGTATTCTTACGTCTCTATTGCGTTTGGTGCTTAGCTGGATACTTCACCTAGCTCCATGTCTTCTCACATGCTATGATATCTTCTTTTCATGACCTCCTCCAAATCACCCATGCACTGACTACGAGCTTCCTGTTTCTGTTTGTTGGTCCACTCGAGGGCTTGTCTGGTGATGTGACTCATTTGATGGTTTTTCTCAATGTGTGGCCGGTCCATCTCCATTTGTTTCGCAATCGGTTTCGGGTTGGTTCGCTCATTGCCAGAGATCTCTGTTGCTCATCTTTTCTGGCCATTTTGATCTTGAGTATTAAGCGGAGACAACTGTTAATGAAGGTCTGTAGTTAGTTTGACATGCTCTTTATGACGCGCGGTGCAAGTCTCTGATCCGTATAGTAGCACTGACTTCACATTGGAGTTGAAAATCCGGATGTTATTTTTGATGCTGAGTGCTGTTGACCTCCACACAGACTTGAGGGTAGTGAAAGCCTGTATTGCTTTTCCGATTCTTGCTTTGATATTCTCGTCAGTTACGTCCGCCTGTAGTTGAAACGATGCTTCCCAGGTAGGTAAAAGAGGTAGTTTCTCTCAGGTTCCTCCCATATATGCTGATTGTTTTGTTTGTTTTTGTTGCTGTTGGCGGTGTTGGTCAGGAATTTTCATCACCTCTGTTTTCTCTATGTTCGACTGAAGTCCTATCTTCTCCCCGGATGCTTCTTCTGCTGACTTGTTGCTTTTTCACTTGCATATCCTCCAGTTTGTGGGAAATCAGATATATATTATTGGCGAATTCCAGATCCTCCTAGTTTTTTCTGTGAGTCCGTTTTATGCCTGTTTCTGGACAAGTGCGAAGTATGTTTTCTTTTGTAACGGACTTCAGGCTTATATTTAGTTTCATTATGACATCATCTGTTGTTTACTTTGTAACCGTATTGTAGTAGTTCTCGAATGATGTCCTATCATATGCAGATAACTCATCGAGAACGTGGGAATTTTTGAGATATTCTGCTCCACTTCAGGTAGTCTTGATCGAATTGCATCATTGTATGCATTGTAGTATGTCGTTTCACTGTACGTGAGTTTGTCTGATATGCTTCCAGAATACTTTGGGATATTCATGTTTCCCAAGGCAATTCTTCAAGAAGAAAATCTTGACATTTTTCTCAGTAAGCTTGACAGACAAACGTAGAAACGTGTTCAGTCCCTCTACCGTCGAACGGTCCTTGCTTCTTTTCAAAGCTTTTCGAATGCACATTGATGTTCCTTGTTGAATCGAAGTATGTCCGTGTTTTTGTAGCTGTGTTGTTTGAGTGCAGGAGGTGTTTCTGTTTCTCGTTTGTTGCAGCTGTCAAGTGCGTTCGCGAGTTGTGTTTGTGGACGGTATTTTCTTGTGGTTTGTTAAAGTGAGTTTTATGGTGTTTTTTTTTACGGGTATGTCCTAAACATTGTTTTGCTATATGGTTTTTTTTTATCTTCTGCTGTTTGTTGTTTATGTTTGCGGAGATTAAGGTTGTTGGATTAGTTGTCTTTGATGTAGGTGAATGTTTATATGGGTTTTTTGATCGCTTATCTAAGCTGTGTTTTTTGTTAGTTTTAGGTGTTTATGATTGGTTTTTGCGATTATGCCTATTAGTTGATTAGTTTGGTAATTTTTGTTACAACTGGTAGGGTTTTTATGATATCTGTTTTGGTTTGTTATTATCTTTTTCGATCCTCTACTTCTCTAGTGTTTTCTTGCTTATTTATTAGGTTGTGTTGTTTTTCATTTTGTTATTGAGGAAATCGTTCGTGCGAATCCTCGATTCCACGGCATTCTAATTGGCCGTCATGCTTCCAATATAATACTGTTTCGGAAAAAGCATAACGTGGAGTTGATTTTCCCAGATCGATTGGAATCTGATCCGAATTTGGCTAGCGAAATACGTATTGTTGGCACAAAAGAGTCCGTTGGAGAAGCTAAACGTCATTTGGAATCTGTGATAAAGTCTTTGGTATGATGTTTTTCCAGTTGTTTTTTGCCGTGTATTTTGAATTCAATTTCTTTGGTTTATTATATTGGTATGCGTCTATTGTGGATATAGTGTTGGTTCGAATCGCACTCAGTCATGTTGCTTTTGTAATCGTAGAATCAAATTCAGTCAAGCCATGGGTGTGCTTCTTATGAATAACAAAATTGTAGATAGCTCGTAGATTTTAATTAGTTATAATGATGGTATTAACCATAATTGTCTGTCATGTGTGTATGTTATATGAAGTGACTCAATTGGTTCGTGTAAGAGTTATCCAGTGCCTGATAGTTTTATTTTGGGAGTATTCATCTTCTTTTTCGTCATATATATGATGAATTTTCATGTAATTTCTGAAGATGGTTTCTTGCTGGTATTTACATACTAATTTATATTTTTAACTCCTGGAGAATGGTTTTTCACAACCTCTTATATATATATATATATATATATATATATATATATATATATGTACAGACAGCAATTTTCAACTTGAAATAAATAGGATAGATTTCCAAGTCATGGAAACGTCCCTTTCTGGAAATCAGAAGCTGTCCAGTCACGTTTTTATGCACAAGACACTTGTAAACAGAATGTCAATAGAAAAGCTTGAAATAATAGTTTTTTTAACTGAAGTTGTAATAATGAAGGGAATGAAAGAGAAAACAAACTGATCTGTGGGAAATTTAGAGATTGAACGAATAACACGGGTTTCTCGTAGCAGATAGCAAAGGGTTGTTCAGTACATTGAAGTCGGAGACATACTATCTTTATGCTCACTCTGTAAATGACTCTGAATAATGAGTCAGTTGAGGCACTGTGACTAGGTGTTCTGACTGAACCAGTGTCACGCTTTTGCTATCATGCTGGGTAGTGTTCTTTAACAGGGTTTCTGAAGGGCTGTCATAGAACGACCTATTAACTTAGCTCTGTAGGAGTAGGTGAATTGATATTTGATCATTAGAGTGGTCATATGCACGAGTTTGTCCTTTATATAGGTGAGAAACAGTGGGTGGCTAGAAAATAAAACTCTTAACGTTTCTGCAGGAAAGTTTTCTTTCCAGGAACCAGGGATTCATCTCTTTAGGGTATTTTCCGATAAGTCATCCCTGAAGTCCAGGTTCATATACACTATATTTTCCCTGGCACTGAATTGCATTCTTCTGTTTGGGTTTCGATTTCATGTTCTTTTCCGCAAACAGTGTTCTTCCTGAGTTAAGAACTTTTCTTCTAAGCAGTCAATGCTGCAAATTCTCCGGATATAGTAAGCGAATATAAGATGGTTGGAGGTATTCGGTAGGAAGCCTTGCACCTAGATTTCATGCTAGTTGGCACTAATCAGCAAGGCGTATCTATAATTTTGAAGGAGCTCATATCCATTCTGAGATTCGAACCCGTGCCACCCAGTGCTGTGGTCAGGGACGTCACTACTAAGCTATTTGTGTTCGCAATTGACCCCCAGTAGGACTGTATTGGATACTTAGATTGGGCATTGGTAAGTAATTAGTATAATATGTCTAGTCCTTTTTTTGATACAAACTGAATTCTATCAGTCAAGTTTGCAATATGGCCACCATCTAATATCAGCAGTTCATCGTGATGGTGTGCCCCTAAGCATGGTGGCACCAAAGAAAGGACTAGACATAATACACTAATTGCTAACTGGTGTCCAACCTACGGCTAGCAAGTGAAATGATGAGAACCATTTTACGACTTGTGGATATCCAGCTGTAAATGTTTGTTAGTTGGCGTTTCCATAATGGTTTTCTGTGGATAGATCTTTTCAAAAGTCCCCATCGTCTCTTCTGCATTCAAAAAAGAGGGGTATCTGTTTCACTCTCGGATTGAATCGCAAATTTAATTGAAGGAATGAAGAATTTCGTCTGATTGACCGCCTCTATTGATCAGTAGGATTGTTGTATTATTTTGATTAGTTCTCAATAATACATGCGTAGAAATATTCCTTTGCATTTCTGCATTTAACTTTTTTTTATAAACCGAATTGTTATTTCTCTATGAAACAGGGAATTAATCTGAAAAATGTGATGTGTTTTTGTTCAATACATTTCGGACAATTGGATCACATATATTTTCTTGCCAAGTGAATATGCGTGAAAAATGAAAGGTCAAATAAAAAAAGGAGTAAGGAGGTTATAATTGACACTACTACTACTTTCACATAATCAGATAAGTGTATTATTCAGGTAAAACAAAGTCGACAATCAATTGTTTTTATGCATACATGGAGGAGGCTTAATTTTACGGATTGTCGCCACCTCAGCGTATTATATATTATCAAGAGCAGTCTCAGTTATTATCCATATGCATACCGAAGCATATCTTAGGGTTTGAGAAGCTCTGTTCTAGAACACCTGATCGACTTTTGTCACTCAACCAAACCTGACAATTCATTTTAACTTGCCGCATTTTCTTCGTGAATTCTAGCCAGACATCTATGTACAAAGAAAGTGTGTATAGTCCCGATTTCCACCTTTACCAGATGGCAGAAAACAGTGATGAAAATACCAAAAACCCTTTATCTTACTAGACTTCTCACAATGTAACGCTATGTTTCATTTGCTTATTGATATCGCCACATAACCCTAAGACGCTTAACTCGTAACTTCCTACTCAGGTTCCATTGAACGGCCCGAAGTTGATAGTGTAATTAGTACAAGTGCAATCCATTTCCATTTACTTGTACATATTTACCTACCTGTCTGTCTGTTTTCGACAAATGAAGCCATGTTTTGGTTTGACCATAACTGGCTAGCTCCTTTCCAACCTGATCCATCCTATGCCAGTCAGCTAACATTGCCCATTGTCGAGGAAGGCAATCGATGGCTAGGCATGCCTAACACACGTCCTACATATCTCAATCGATGTAACTTCACAACATCGTCGATTGATTTTCCCTCCCTACTTAGCACTCGATATTGCTTACCCGATTATATCACCGAACACGGGAGATAGAACGCAGACACCTATGTTGAAAAACAGCTATCCTCCTGATTTCTTCCAATTTCAGTGATCATGTGTCAATCACAGACATAAAGGAGGACGGAGCGGATCGCTGAGCAGTACACTTGCCCTTTAGTCGACACCCAACTGGATATCACGTCTACCAAGGCAGAGACGGCGTAAACTGGCATATGCGAAACTAGTCTTGTGTATCCATGCTGAGATTTTGCCAGCGATCAACCCGCTGGTACTGGCTGATGCAACTCTCCAAATAAGTGAAATGGTCAACACGCTCTACCACTTCATTGCCTATCTTTAAGCTAGGAGTAGTCGATGTAGTGCAGTCCTGTAGCATTATCTTACATTTGACGGGAGCAAATCGCATGACAAACATTCGCAGATTGCAGCTCCTCAAGGTGTTCAGAAGACTGCTCTGTTTTGTCAGCGTCTTCACCTAGGAGGGAGGACTGTATCATCTGCATATCGTAAGTCAACGAGATTATTCCCTGATGGTAACAAGTGAATCGCTGAGTCACTGAAGTCACTTGGGGTTAAGTCTATTACTACATCTATGATGAAATTGAATAGAAATGGGGACAGTGGGTATCCCTGAAGGACATCACTGGTTGTCACCACTTCAGATGACAACTCGCCGTAAGCTATCAGCTGGCTGACTGCATGTGTTCGAGTAGAGTGATTGGCTTGATCAGTGCAATGTATTTTCTCGACATTCCCTTTACAGCCAAGCATCTCCATAGTACTTCTCAGTCGAGAGAATCAAATGACGCCTTTAGGTCAAGAAATATGACGATTGTTGAACGCTGGTGAGTATTCCTATGTCCCAGAATCTGTCTAAGGGTGAAGATGTGGTCGATGCACCCTCTCCCTGATCAAAAGCCTGCCGTCTGGTTGTCTCGTGTTTGTTCCTCCTGTGGACCGCTTAGTCCTCGCATTATTATTGAGCCTAGAACTTCAGGTACCACATTAGTCAAGCTAATCCCTCTGTGATTATCACAGGAATACTTGTCTTCCTTCTTATGTACCGGGATAACCAATGACTTACACCAACCCGACGGGACTATCTCTGATTCACAGACGCTGCGTAGTGCCTTAGTTAACGCAGCGAGTTAATTGTCTACACCCTCCCGCTACTTTGCCTTGTTTCAGACTGATGACAGCTTTTGTAACCTCAGTTAGGAATGGAGAACCGGTGTTTATATCCCAATCAAGGAGGTGGTGGATGTTCGGTAAGTTGATCGTGGCTGTATGTCAAAGTGTTCTTTCCAACGTTCTAGTCGTCTATCCTGGGAGTTGATTGAAGTGTTACTTTTCTCAGAGATTGTGAAACAATCATTTTGGCTTTTACCACCTGTTTCCCCAGAGCGTGATTGAAGTCTACGCACGTGTCCTAAAAGGATCGACGGTCTTCTACTGACCTCCGCCAACAGATGATTATCTGAAGAGAACAGTTGAATGCGATCACCGTTGACAGTTCGTCGACAGGCAACTCCATAGGTACTACCTATATACTATTTAGTCTGGTTTAACTTCCCTACTTGGGCATTGAAGTCGCCTGCTGAAACTACTATATCTGAGCGTTTTGCTTTTTGCAGCAAACTAGACAGTTTCTGGTAGGAATCATTCTCTAGTTCATCAGAACTGGAGTCGGTTGAGGCGTAAGCGGATATTATGAAAACACAACGACGAGTAACGCCGTCCTTCCTTCTTCTAACGGACTCGTTCAGACGGACCGCGCACATACGACTATCTACTGGGATCCAGTCAAGAAGGGATTTTTCTGCCCTAACACTCAATGCTAACCCTACACCTACGAGTCCTCGCCAACTAGCTGAGGCGTCTCTTGACACCCTTAAAGTGAGTTTTGCAGATTCACCTTGTTGACCGGGTGAGGTTGAGTGAATGACCACACTCGGGTCTTGTATGTGTATCTCCGAGACACAAAATACATCCATGGCTCGAGATGCCAGTGTTCGTGCTAATGACGCCCATTGTCCGATTTGGTCCTGACGTTGACTACTCCTATATGAAGTTGGCGACGTGGCTTTAGGAGGCTGTCGGGGGTGTTTCTATGGCTCTCATCTTTGTAGTCACAGAGTGAAGTGGAGATGACTCACTAGCCTGAAGAATAGTACTAACTGTAGTAGGGGAGTAAGATGATGAGGTGATGTTGGTAAAGAAGAATGATGCTCAGGAAGGCTTCGTGTGCTTTTGAAAGTCTGTGGGCGGTTGTTACTTCCCGGCTGCCGACACCGTGGAAGTTGATTGATTCTTTGGGTACCTGAAACAGAAAGAGCGTTAGTGTTGCGTGATCTCAGACCCCAGGGGACAACTACTTCAGGCTGGTCACACACCAACTGTATGAACTGGTGTCTTAGATTGGTTCCGTATTAGTAAACTTACCGCCGGTTACGGATCAGTATAGGGTAAGTCGGGATGTACAATTTTCGGGTCTCCCTTCAGAGTGGAGAGATAGCATAGCTGACATGCTGGTCATCTGAAGGGAACGCCTTACTGCTGTGACATCCCTGTTCCCTAGCAATACGAATTCGCCGGTTTGGTTAATGAAAGGCAAACGTAGAACTGTGAAGTCGTCTATGTGTGATCACCTGTTAGAGTCTGGTCATTCAGCCTCACGTGATTCATCCTTCAAGGTTATCTACATGGCAAAATCGAATCGCTCCAAAAGTTTACGTTTTTTCACTTATGCATAGCCTAAGCTTTAGCTATACATGAACAGAAACCTAAATTATGTGTTCAAAAACGTATTGTCAAACCCCTTTCTTTACCTTGGTCATAGTGATATTCTTTCTAGTTTTTATTTTATTTTACCACTTGAATTCTTTCCACTTCACTTCACAACTTCATTCTAATCGTAATCGTACTCCTGATTTTTTAAAATTTTTTGACAACACTTGACTTTTTTAAAAATTTTTTTGATATCAATACAATTATAGAACAATCTTTAATAATTTTGCAATTCATCCACTTCAACTTTACCCCTTATAACATTTTAATTATCGTTATTCTTATCACATATATGTATATTGACTGAGGAATTATTTAGTGCCACTTATTAACTTTTTCTGTAATATAAATATGACTGTACAGCTTGAAAATGAAGTCGTTGAAAAGAAATTTCTTCCCTGAATAGGTTCTTAAATGATTTACTTCCATAGTTTCGTGTTGCTTATTGTTTCTGTCAAACAGACCGGTCGGCTGGCTGTCCATTTGATCTAAAATATGGAGGTAGAGAAGGGAGTTGTTAATAAAGGTCTGCAGGAGTCTGTTAGAAGTGCTTCTTTTTGACTCGCACTGGCCGAGTTTCCGACTAATGTAGAAGAAGTGACTGACTTAACATTGGTGTTGTGAATCGGAATTTAGTTGTTTATTGTGACTGACTGAGTTGAGAAGATTTCCCAAGTGATTTGAGAGTGATGAATGTGTGTGTGTGTGACTTGCGTTTCTGATAGTGGTTTTGACGTCGTTAACACTGTGGCGTTCCTGTAGTTGAAACGACGCCTCACCATTGAATGATTTGCTTTTCGTGAATCCATCTTATTCGTTGCTGGCGGATTTCTGCTTCCAGGGTATATCTTTTAGTCTCTGCAGGATTACGCGACTTAGTATTTCACTTGGCGTGGAGTTGAGCATGGTTTCACTTCAGCGCGTGCAGTTGTGCAAAACATCTGTTTCGTTCTAGTTTGAGACTCTTCGACAGCACACTCCTTCTGGGGTTCGAACACAGGACCTTATAGTTACAGAGCGAGCTCGCAGACCAGTAGGGCATTTTGCCCCATATCCAACAGCCCATGAATTCCAACTCCTGTCAATAGAATACATTGCACAAACCCTAGCCAATATCATCGACGAGTATTTTTCTTCATAGGCGACCTGGTTTACCCCACTGGTGACGACTTCTCACTAAAACCTAGGTAACTGCCCACCTGAATTGGGCGAGTCTCTAGTGAGCATCAGATTAATGTTGAAGCATTGGTTTGCAGGGATTTGATTTGATTGGTTACAGGATTTCATCAAAAGTCGACATCGGTTAGAGAAAATAAAATAAAAATATGTAGTGCTTCAGTTGATAATGATTTGTTGAATTGTCTTTTGTCTTTTCTAGCACTCTTTTTCACTTGTATATTGAGTGAGATGTACATTGGACTCAGCTTCTCTTTGTCCATTGGTTCATCTTGTGTTGCATGATCTTTCTGTTTTTTGTTTGTCTTCAGGTAGGTGTCCATTGTGAACGGTTCCTTGTGTTGCCTGTCTTTTCTTTCTAGAACGGTTGTACACGTTTCCTTGAAGATGACTTTCAGAGAGTTCTAGTGTTTATCCACACAGGTTTCCTCAGTGTATTCGACTTTTCTTTGATATCTGTAGTGAAGGTATCCCTTGTAGTTTTGTCTTTGAGATTGTGAATGTTCAATTTGAATCGTGGTCTATCTCCAGTTGCTTTGTTGGCTTTCAGTCTAACTTTGATGATTCATTGAATTAGATGATGATCTGTGCGCATATCTGCGTCTGCATCTTTTTGAGATTGAGATGAAGTCTCTGATTTTCGGTTTATCGGTTGGATGAAATCCATGTCGCCTTGTGTAGATCTTTGTGCTTGGACATGCTGCTTTCCATCACCAAATCATTGAAGGCGGAGAATTCTGTGAAGAGTTCTCCATTATCGTTCAATTTTTTCGAAGGACTATCCATGATAAATTCTCTTCCTGTATTATCTGCTCACAGTTCAGCACTGATATCACCTATTAGGGTTTCGATGTCACCATTTGGGATGTTGTCCATTACTGTTTGTAGTTGACTTTAGAAATCTTCCTTCTTCTCTTGTGCCGAGTTGTTCGTAAGTGTGTAGTATTGGATGACTGTAACCACTTATCATTTTGAGTTGAATATTGCTTTCAGACTCCTGGAAGAGTTTAGTTCCGACTGCATAAGAGCTTTGACTATAGTTGGTGGTATAATATATACTCCTTTCAGTGTGCTCGTGACTGTCTTCCGGATGACTGGAGTGGATTATTCACTACACAGTTGAAAATTTGTAGAGTCCACATCGATTCGTCCTTCTCTCACAGATTCCTACCACTACTATGCGAGGTCCACTCTTTTTTTAGCAACCTGAGCAGCTTTCCTTGCTTCTTACATTATACTAACATTTCAATTGTTCATTCCTATTTTCGCCTTCATTGAAAGAAGACACATTGGCTGACTAACTTCCTGAAAGATATCACCAGCTTTTACCATTTATTCTCTCTGTTTTTTTAACGAAGAATAAGTTTATTTTTCATGTACTTCGAAGTTTCTGTAGCAATTCGATTGATTTTCCGAAGGTAAGTTTGCTGGCTGGAAAGCTATCGAACTAGTAAACTTGGCGGGTTTGCAATTTGTTGTGCAAGAATACAATTTTTCAAATAAATCGCGATTGTTGACAGCTCTATTCAAATTGACTGAGGAGACTAATTGTTTTACATTGTAAATCATGTTAATTAGTAGGTAATTGCTCATTAATAATAATAATGATATTCACACAGTACAATCAGTCATCTTTAGATGTATGTCTTATATTGTGTAAATATAGAATCTGATGCAGAAATGATGATGAGGATTTGTACTTCAGATGTGGTGGTGGTGGTGATATTGGCATAGTTGTGTTCTTTGAATTGAGAAGTTTTCATGAGACAGTTCTGGTGGTACTTCTGTTTGGTTTCAAAATCACCGAAAGAATAAGAAATGACTTTTGAAGAACTGCATTGTGTAGTTAATACTTCATCAAATACACATGATCATTCCTTTTTTTTGTGGTTAACCAAAGTGGATAAGCATTATTAATCAAATGACTGTCTCTGATATTATTTGGCATGAAATGCAGATTTCGTTTAGATATAATATAGAGAAGATTTATAGCTCAGGTGGATGATTTTGATGTGGTTGTTTTTACTCTGAGCTGGATAGGCGACATCTTCAACGCATACTTCAATTTGAAGGGAGTTTATTCATCATCTCTCCCGGTGGTGACCTTGGACGTGATTGGTTGTTTTTGTGTGTTTTCACACCTTCTAGGTTACTCTTGTAACCTTGTAACATCAAAAAGATTTCGTTTGAGTGTAAGTGTAATCGGGAAATGCTGGAAATACCATTCTGTATGAAAATAACTGTTTACAGAGTACAGTGATTACGTTATTATTATTATTATGTACGTCACCAATTACACATGTGCTCCTAGGTTCAATTGCCGATGACCGATAAACTCTTAAACATTGCTTAGCTCTAGTAGTAAATCCACTAGATAGGGCAGATAGATCGTGTGTGAGGCTTGCAAATCCACCGCCCAAAAGAAGAAGAAGCAAACACACCATTGGGTACTGGAACTTCATAGTTCAAGTTTGAAGTCATACACATTCCATTGTGTATGTGTAAAGGAACGAAAAGAATGAAGCGACTATGATTACTTTGTTATATCGTATCAGAATATCGTATCATATAATCTTACAGTACTGTTATTTGTTTTGTTTTGCTTATAGGAAGATGAAGTAGAGGAGTCAGTTGCTATTGACTGGAGTATATTAAAAGAAATCATTCAATATCGTCGTTCCTTCCCTACTCCCGAATTAGATGGTGTCCGTGTAATCATTCCTCGTTATGCTAATTATGCCAGTTACATTCAGCCTGATTCAGATAATTCCATGGGAAACCATTACGAACCTTTGTTCATTAAATTACTCGGCTCTAAAGCTTGTGTTGAAGTAAGTGCAACTAATTGTTGTAAAATAATAATAATAATAATAGCAGCTTTATATAAACAGTCCTTTTTAGTACAAATATGAAATTTTCAGTCAGCAGGTAGTATACAGTATTGCATCTAATGCTATATCATTACGGTGGCGATAATTAGAACAGGGCAGCATCTGAAGTGATAATATAGTTCGATAAGAATATGAACATTAAAAAACTAAAATTGCAGTGAAAATATTAACAACAGTATAATCATGAAAAAAAGAAAGAAAAGAGCCTGTTTACTTATATTGTATCGCAGTAAGTTGTTATAGTATCCTGCCATACACCTTTCTCATCGTATAAAATATGTACCAAATAAAGTATGACGGAGTTTTTAATACTTAGACGTCCGACCATAAAGTCCTCTATAGTTGGTTTCTAGTTCTACCTGACGAGATGCAAAGAGAGAGAGAGAGAGTTGTTTATTGTAAAGGGGATTCTCAAGGTCTGCCAGGATAATATTCACAAATTTTTTCTTGTATGATTTCGAGTTGGTTTAGCGACACACCACTCGCCGTCCTATTGACAGCATTTCAGTAACCTTCTCAGTGTAACAAAGTTATCCTGAAGTAGCCTTGGAAGTAGTAAGGGGAAGTAATAAAGTGGAATAGTTGGAATACAAGAATTAACAAATTGTAAAAGTAGTGATGAGTTATACCAGACTGTCTTAACTTGGTGTGCTTTGTTTTCTTAATATTGTATATTGTATAATTTTAATTATCTTACATGGTATTTCCCGTCATCATAGCCATTTATCATAAGGTGGAAGTCAATAGTTCGTTTATTCATCCTACTGCATTTAGAAGGTTTGTGATGCTATCTATTTATATTGGCTAGCAATTGCTGGATTCAGACTTTGTCTACTGCGGTGTACTATAAAGTACTACATTATGTGTATGTGTGTGATCCACACCTAATTGATAGAAGTATTTTCAGAGGAGTGTGTTGGTGGTACCACATTTATCTTACTTCATCCTGATATTACACAATCATTATTATTCCTTTGAGTTCCGAATGGAATATCTCCATTTAATCCTATTTTCTGTAGTCCTCTTAAAATTGGCCTCAAGATTGCCTGTATTCTTTCAGCTCTTGCTCACAAGATCTCCAACTCGCCGTTTCCCATTTGGATTCTACTCGAGTGGCGGGGATAGCTTGGTACGCAGTGTCACCTGACAGTCTCCTCAGTTTGTGTCCTATCCACCTCCATTTTGTTCGGGAAATTACACAATGCGGAGTAATTATCCCAATTTTAATTCAGTCTATGAAAAACTGTTCAGTGATAGAATATATAGTTGTTATTATTATTGTTTGAGATGATCTACAGTGTGACATTGTAGACAAATTTTGAATGATTTCTTATAGTTGGAGAAGGTTACGTCAATCTCCAACTAACTCACCAGCCGCACTTAACTCTCCGCCACATGACAATAAGCCAAGGAAGAATTCAAACAAGTTATTCACTACTAGCTCAAAGCCAGCTAATCTTTGTATTTCATTCTACTTCTTCGAGTTTTGCTATCTGATTACCAGATTTGACTCAATTTCCTTGTGACTAGGGGCGGGGTTATTTGTCACCCAAGTTGACTATGTGGAGGAGAGTTATTGACTCTGGCATTTCATTGTTTTCCTGATGAAAACCTCTCTGTGATGTAGGAAAACTTTTGAAAGGATGCTGGGTTTATGTGACTGGGTTACAATTTGCATATCCTTCATACCTAACAATACTCACAATGAATAATACTACTGCTTCATTAAATGAATACAAAGTTTACTTAAAATTCATGCTTGTTTTTCTTTTCAATCTTTCTTTTTTTGTTTCTTCTCCCATTCTCTTTCCTTTTATATTAATAAACAACCAAAAGACTGCGCTACACGCTTTGAATAATATTATCAAAGAGGTTAAAGAACAAGTAACTCAGGAATTCCCGTTAACAGATCCTAGTCATATCATTGTACTCGAGCGCAATCGATCGCAGCTACCTGAATTGGAACGTATGCACAAAGTGTATATTAGATTAATTCGATCGACAGAAAACTCAGAACCAAATTATTCAACATTAGAAGAACGGTTTGGCAATTCACCAGGTAATAATTATTCGTGCTAACAGTTTCATTGATAACTTGTCATGGAGTATTATTGTTATTATTGTTGAAAAAATGTAGTCAAACATTTATGAGTTATTCAATATACAATTTTGTGTGTAATTAAAGATACAGAAAGTTACCCCTAGAGTTCTACTAAAGTATAACCCTACATTTGAAAGCAATCAGACAGGATTTCCTGGCAGAGATTTTGAACCTACGACTGGTTTCAGAAGACTGAACTTAATGCTCAGAGTACAGTACAGCACAGTGACTGATGCGGAATAACAGAAAACGATAGGGTTATGTTGTGTTGGTTTATTCTTTCATTGATAACAAAACAGCATTGCAATTAAATACGTGTGCAGTCTGTAAATGAATGTTAATATAATGATGTACAATAATGCTGCTTCTGGTTGTGTTTCTTCGATCTTCTGCCAACCAGTATATACGATTAAGCAACCGGATAGCCTTCTTGTCTCCCGCCAAATGGAGATCAGTTCGAATTAACAAAGAACTCAATGTTCATCAACATTGACATCCTGCATCTAGGTATCTGGAAATTCATACGTTTCAAGATTAATATGTAGACTAACTATTTGCTCTTTTATAAAATTTGAAAAATAATGGAAGAAAAAAAATGAAATGTAGATGAGAAATTCCAGTTAATCGACTTCGAAATTTTATTCGAATTAAATAAATCGCATGCATTCAACCTATCATTCATTAATAAAGACGTCCTACACATTTTTGTATGTAGTATTTCACTTGTGTGTATATTTATTTAGCTTTTGTTATAAATTTTCTCTGAATATACTGTGTTGTTGATGTTGTAGTTGTAGTTGTGGTGGTGGTGGTGGTTGATGTCTTCGCCATGTCACCTTCTAAGGCGCCCAACAAATGACTTCTCGTTGCTTTTCATTTGGGTCAAGGGCCTTGGCTGTGTGATGCTACTCAACAGTCCTCCCAGTGTAATTCCAGTTCATCTCAATTTTCTCCAGCTTATTCCGAGTTAAGACTTGTTGATCAGCACTATTTGATGCAACATACTGCATATAGTATACTGACGTTTATTGTCGTCAGTCTTTCTTGTTAGTCACAAGCAGCAATATAAACTGTTAACACTGTCATATGGGGGAGAAATTGTAATTCTACATTTTAGACATTTTCGCATTTTGTCTTGTTTGTTAACAGGGGTTTATTTTTTGTCTTCAGATAATAGCTGTAGTATTTTGCACCACTAATCAATGTTTACATCTTTTTTTTTAATTTTTATCCTCTCAGAACCTCATGTCCTCGGTATTCTTACGATAACCGGTGTTAGAGAACGAATAAATCAAGCTTTTGAAGATGGTATAAAGCCTCTCCTGCCAATTGAAGATACTTTTCCAGTACCTCAAGAATTCCATCGTAGTCTAATTGCCGTTCCAACTGAGATATCGAATTCCCGTGAGCAATCACGTCGACTAACTCGTGGTGTTAATAATACTAAGCAAGCTACACCACCGGATCAAGCAACCAATACAACAGAAAGTCTATCTAAAGCAATAGAAATTAGGCGAAAGTATTCCGTACGTCTTTTCTCTTATTAATATTTTTGTGTTTTCGTTGAAAGTCTGCATTATTTGAATTTCATATGTGCATGTGTTTGTGTATGTGTGTTGTATATTTGTTCAACTGTGTACTATTTAATCAAAAACAGGGAGGAAATGGAAATTAATCACTAGAGGATTTTTTTTGGCTGGTTAATATGAAACTAACTTTCTTCAGTTGTTCATTGATTGACTATATGTATATACTATGCATCGTCTCATGTGCCTGAAAGCATATGTTATCGTGTTACGACTTTGTGCATCGATGGCTCAGAGGTAGAATGCCACCTACTTATGTGGTCCGAGGTTCGATCCCCGGTTGACACTCCCATACCTCGCTTAGCTAGCTGGTAATAAACCTGTGAGACTAGCAAGGCACCCGTAATAATAAAGCGTTGCTACCAACTTCAAGCCTGCTTGAAGCCCTAAGTTCCACTGGAGATGCACAAAATAAAAACAAGTAGTGTAGCGGTAAACGATAAGGGAATTGGGAACGGATTTTACCAAGGAAATACACATATTGGCATGACATACTTAACCACATCAAAGCTCGACTAGATCAGGCGAAATAAGTGGGCAGTTGCCCCAAGGTTAATCAACTTGTCCTTGAGGTTACTTCAGTCCACAATGTAAACTCTGCATTCATTAACTCAAAGTGTTGATTTCATTTTGGCTGCTTCCTATTAATCTATACACACCATACTTCCCATGTCATTGGTTTCCAAGTATCCGATTCAATCCTCTTGATGCTACTACCTACTCTATTGCGTCTTTATCGGCTTGCTTATCCTATCGTCTGTTAAAGTTTCTGTGTTTTTGATATAACGGGACGACGTCTCCCGATGACAGAAAGTATTCCTTTCAGGTCTCCTGACCGCCTACTTGCTCAGTAATGCTGTACGTTGTGTACGGTTGTTCAATTGTAATGCATCTTTCTTTCCTTTGTTTTCTGCGGGGAACACAAGGATTAAAGCGTTGAACTTGCATTGGTGTTCATTGGAGTTGCAAGCCTGATACCCAGCCTTCCCTCTTCTGCAAACTTGCTATCGGCTAGTAAAGTAGGTGAGATTTAGAAGTGTGACGGCTGGGTAATCGGACCCGGACCAGGTGTGATAGTTTTCGCGCATTTTACCGCTAAACCACCGATATACCAAACTAATATCCCCTGGAGGACTTAAACCTGTATTTACCCAGTGCTTTAATTAAACTGTTATCTGCTAAGCCGTTGGATAGCTTCATCTGTTCTTTGATACTCTAATATGAATGGTTTACTTGTGTTCTTCAAGCTAAATAACTTAGTATCGAAAATCTGGTCTTACCACTATTTAGCTGTGTTTTTTTAAATCTTGTATTTTTATCACTAATTTGTCTTATTGTTATTTCAGGTTACTATACGTCTACCGCCTCAACATCCCGCTGGATCAAATTTCATTTTCTTACGAGGTACACCGAGTAACATAGCAGCAGCTAAACACGAATTAACTGAATGGCTTAAAGAATGTGAAGCTGCTAAAGCTGATCGAATTGCGCGTAATTATGAAGAAGCAATAGACTTTCCTCATCGATTTTTACAAACTATCCTTGGTATGCGAGCTGATATCTGTTCTAAACATGAAGTTGTTATGCGTTTGGACACGGGTACGGTTGTGAAGCCGGCAGTACTGCCACCATCACCGTCACCCCTAACAGCACCTATCACACCAGCAGCATGTGAGGCATCATCCAACAACACCGTTGAAATTAGCGGTGATATAACTTTCTCAGGTATTTCACAACCACTTGTTAGCAATGGTGATATGTCGAATGTTAGTGAGCCGTGCGCAGAAGTAACTACAGAGAAACAAGCTAGAATTATCCTTCGTGGTTATCAAGACCATGTCTCAGCTGCTAAAGCTGAATTGACTAACACGATAGCTAAATTGTTGGCCGAAGTTACTGAGAATTTATTCATTCCTGTAGAGGTAGGTTACTTATGTATTTAATTGTTTCTTCGTTAATACAATTTTTCTCTTGGAACATTTCATCATTTCGGTAGGCTATGGTGTTTTAATATTTTACATGAGAATGTTTGATTATTGATTATACATGTTGAAAATAATGAATTCTCAAAGTTATGTGTCATGCTAAAGACTTAAGATAAACACATTATAATACCTTGAGCAGAAATCTTCGGATGTTTGACTTATAATATATTCCTGTCCAATGTAAGATGATGCTAGAGGATTGGACTACGTTGATTTATAGCGTAAAGATAGGCAGTAAAGTAGTGGTAGATCGTGTTGTTCACTTCCTTCACTTATTTGGGAAGTTGCGCGAAGTGTGTTGGTTGATCGCTGACAAGATCTCAGCACAGATACAGAAGACTCGTATGTAATTTGCCAACTTACATCGTATCTGGCCTGGATGTGATATCAGTCAGTCAAAGGAAGTGTGTACTGCTCAGCAGATTCCTCTGTCCTTATAAAATCGCTCGGAGACATTTTCATCGGAAGTGAAAGATACCAAAAGTTCAGTTGTCTTTGATCACAGGTATCTGCATTCTGTCTCCTGTGTTGCCGTGATATCATAGGGTGAGTAATATTGAGGTTCATTGTGAGGAGGGGATGTTTGTCGATAAGGTTGTGAAGCAACATGAGATGATTAAGACATTTCCTAGGCATGTGTAGGCATCATCGTCTTCAACGAGCAATCTTAGCTGACATTTCCTCAATTAGGAAAAGGGTTAGGGGTGGCCAAAAACTGAAACTTAGCATCACTTCATAATGTCTTCAACAGTTGTAGACTGTTGTTTGGCTTGTTAGAGTCCTTGGGATTCTAAAGACAACTGACGGCTGGAGGAGACTGTTGGTGATGTGGCTCGAAATCTTTCTCAGTGGTTCAGAAACATTTACTTTTTTATGATCTGCTATAACCATTTGAACCCTAATGTTTTACCATGTCGCTATTCTTATATACTCTTTCATATTCCTACTAGGTATAGTTCTTTCTTTAACGTCTTTTTCGTCTACCCTTGTGTGCTACATGGAGTGTGGTAGGTAACTTGAACTGCTGCACTTCTGTGCAAAGTTGTATGTTGAAACCAGTCAGCTAATTTTAATTGTAACAATATAAGTGTGTAAATGACTCCACCACACCCCGTTGTGACTAATCTTTGAATCATCGGTTATTGATTATCTCTGTCACAAAAACCCAACGATATATCCTGTCGTATTTCACTCTGGTCAACCACACAATTTAACCTGTTGTCTGTATATTGATTCTCTTTAGACGCATGCTCGATTAATTGGTACCAAAGGTAGTGCAATTCTAAAGGTCATGCGAGAATACAATGTTCGTATCGATTTTCCGAATAGAAGAAATATCAACAGTGCAAGCGAAGATGTGAACACTGTGTTGGTGTCTGGTGCGCCTGAAAATGTTGACATGGCATGCGATTACCTAATTACAAAAGCAAATGAGTTTGTAAGTTTCACATATACCAACCGTAATACCCATTCTATTGTCTTGAATTTATTAGAGGGAATCTTAGTCTTTTTTTTATTCGAATGAATAGTTGTCATTCTCTATCTCAATAGTATTCGAAAAGATTGTTAAGCAATGTAGTCGTAAATGTGTGTAAAACTTTATCCATTTACACTCTGTTTATTCATTCATTCAATCAAAAAATCAGTTGAATTTTCACAACAGTCATTTCTTCAAGTTGCGGTAAGTTCTATAATGGATGTGGTATCCAATATAGCGAAGTTGTTAATCAGGACTTGGTCATTTCACAGAGAATTGAGTTGTCTCGAGTATCAAACGCATACTGACTTTTCAACCAGATGTGATAAGTCATGGAATCGAAATTCCCCTCTCAAAATATAAAATATACAGCAAGACTAACTCTTCGTGAATTTTCTTTAGAAGAGACTAGTCTCAGCTAGAATAGTAGTGGGTGAACTATTGAATTGACGTTTGGCACTGTTGTTTCATTCCTCTCACAGAGTGAGAGAGAGACTTTCCGTTCTCATGAACAACAGCTGAACTCATATGTATTGTCTTCCGGCTTCACTGTAGCATAGAATGACAATCAAACCACTCTCTACCTCAACTTCATAGACTTCTAAAGGGCGTTGACGGAGAAGTAATTCGGAAACTACTTCAACACTATGGCGTGCAGTGGCCAAGTCTTTATCAACCTCATTCAGCAGCTGGCTATATGACGGTGCCATGTGCCAGGTGATCCACAACGGAAAACTCAGTGAGGCGTTCGAAGTGCACACAGGAGTTAGACAAGCTGGCTGGCTGACTGCCTATTATCGCCGATGATATTCTTAATTGTGGTGGACTGGATTGTGCGTCAGACTGCGAGTTGGGAGTGAGAAGACAGGAATACGCTGGACCACCAGTGAGAAGACTCGAGAAGATCTGGATTTCGCGTATGGATGATATATGTCTAATGTCACACAGACTCGAAGACTCAGAGGCAGGCGAAAACTGGCAACAAACTAGCTGAATAAGCAGGCAAGCAGCGAAGACAGGACTCCAGGTGAACATAGACAACACACAGGTGATGAAGATAACCAACCAACGAACAGCAACAACAACGACAACTAGCACCAATCACCATCAACGGGAGAGATTTACCAGAGGTTACTTCCTGACTTCACTTATCTGGGAAGCATCGTCTCAACTACAGCCAGTCAGAACAGATGAAGACGTCAAGGCCGACCAGTCAGAATCGGAAAGGGGAGATACGCCTTCATTAACCTGAAACCAGTTTGGAAATCTTCTACACTCAGCATAAGGAATAAGATTCGCATTTTCAACACCAATGTCAAGTCGGTCCTTCTATTCGGGTCAGAAACTTGCACTGTATGCCACGAAAAGAATTTCCAACGGGTTGCAGACTTTTACCAACATCTGCCTTTACTGGTTGCATACTGAAGATCAGATGGCCGACGGGCCAGAAAGAATTAGCAACAAGAAGCTCTGTGGTGGAACAAACCAACCAAGAGCTGATTGCTTAAAAAATATGTGGGGGAAAATGGAGATAGATGAATCGGGAATACATTGAGGAAACCGTCGAATGACATCGCGCGCAATGTGGACCATTGCTCGAGTGGAATCCAAATGGGAAGCGATGAGTGAGTCATCCTAGGGTGACAAGGAGATTGTGTGAAGAAGAGATGAGAAGTTATGGTCAATCGTGGACCCAGCTAAAGAGGATGACAGAAAGTAGAAGAAAGTGGAGGTGTGTTGTTGAAACCGTATATTCCACTGGGAACTGAAGGGAATAATAATAAAATATAATCATCATGGTTTATCTCTATAGCGTTTGTTTTGGTTTGAGACTGTTTCTGATGATGTAGAATCAATGTATGTATTCGAAGTGTTGTGTGTGTGTGTGTGTTCTAAAACCAATGACTTACTTTTTCCGTCAGCTTTAGATTAGTGGCAGAAAAGCTGACGATGAAGAAGAATTTTCGGGACGTAATAAATAAATGAAGAAAGACAGCGAGGTGATAAGTTGTCCTCGCTAGTCGAATCACAACTTATGACAGTCAAAGTGCATTCTCATTGCAAGCGTAACTTTAGAGAATTTTTTTTAATGCTAAAATTTCGTAGTATTTTTTTATACATTATCATTGATATTTTTTTAAATTTGTACTTTTCTTCTCTTCACAAAGCTGGCGCAAAGTGAATCATCCAATGTTAGACATCGACTGTTGGAGGAGGAGATATAAAGTCGAAGTAATTTGCTCACTTGTTCTTTTTTCGGACAGATTTACTGTTTATTGTTTTCTGCATGTTTAATTAATACTCACCAGAGATTGAGGTCAAACTGTTTTTTGTTCCTCTTGAGGATGCGTCCCATGTACTTGTGTGTATGTGTGTGTGGAGGGGGGAGTGTATGCTATATGTGCCTTAAATCTTGTCATTTTGATGACAGAACATATTTTTTTGAATACTGTATCTTTGTTTTGCTAGTTGTGTTACTTAGTTCATGTTCTTCTGCGCCCCTCCCCTCGCCTTTTTGGAGTTATGCTTTTTGTCAACCTTCTCTCTCTCTTTTTTCTGTTATATCATTTACTCACATGTTATCTGTGTTATTCTGTTGTGTAACTGACCCCTTAATGGTGTCTGTTATCCATACAGACGTGTTTTCTCTAGTGAGTAACTACGATTTACTTTCCTTTTTTCTCTTTTCCCCTTTGTTTGTTTTTGCTGGTTATATTACATTTTCTAACACTTTGTTTTTTTCTCAACTGAATAATGCATCCAAATTCAATATTACAAATAGTGAGGAGAAATTTTTTTTACAAAACTTTCTGGTACACACCTTATTTTTCTTATATCCATCACTAATACCTCCGACTAGTCAATAGAGAATACACAAACGCACACGTATCTAATTACACACACACACACAGACGTACATATACCGTTTGTTCAACTTCCTGACCGCCCCGACTCTTTATCATCATCTCTGTGTGCATGTTTCACTGTTGTTGTTTTTTTTTCAATAGGAAAAACGCGAGAATAAAGAACAGGGAGAGCAATTACTACTTCAGACAATGTTCTCACAGTCAGCATGTTTCTGTTTTGTTTTTTTTTCTAAAATAAACTGTGTTTCGTTGAGGATAAATTTCTGTCTTTTATTCATTTATTCCATAAATTTGGATTATGGTTATATTATTGCAAATAATTCCTGTGGCAAAGTTGAAATATGATTTGCGTGTTAAGTTGTCGATGCACGATGAATTATATCACCTTTATGCGCTGCTCATTAGGTGGACATAGAAAATAGATATCTATATCTGTCAAGGAGTTTGAAGCTGTTTTACTAAGATGACATCTAATGACATCTCCACTCCTCACACTGACTAACAAGTCATGTAGAATAGGGGGGAATACCAGCTGTTGATCAGTACTTTTTAATTTCCAATGATCGTGGATAAAAATGTAGTTTAATAGTAGTAATTTGGTTTTCCCTTCCACAGTAAATGATTGAATAATGTGGGAAATTGTGAGCGAAACAAAATAAATTATGCCTTGATCATTGATTGGGGTATCACATTCATTCAGTGTGGATTATAGGAGAAAAGTACTTGTAATAAAATAAACATCCATTTCACGATCTGATGAGTTTATCACACACACTACTAAGACTTTTTTTACTGAAAAAAAAAAGATTAGGAAGGAAAATAGTATGCGAATATTATCGGCCTAACCTAAATGCACGCTAATGTTAGGAGACATGTGCTGTTTAACCATTCAAAAACACAGGATTATAAAAGGAATTATACACATTTATTCTAATGTATTTAAACAGTCTAGCAACATAACTCCCCGAATGCGCTTCACTAATAACCAGTGGGTTACAGACAGTTAGCAAAACAAATCAGGAACAAGTGATCAACGTGAGCGTAGACTATTCAAATCAAGAAACTCTTAACCATTACACAGAAGTCTTATACCTCTATCACAAACCTAAGTAATTAACTATTGCAACTTTTCCGATATTGACTCTGTTGATGAGATTTTCTTAACCAAATTTAATTTGGTTGTTAATAAATTAGTAATCAGGTATTCCAAATTTGTACAGCATCTAACACCTACCTGTGTTGGGTGTAGACATAAGTCTTCTAATTGTAAATGTGGTTACAGAGGCTGTCCTCCAGTCTGGCTAGCTGGTTCAACATAGGACTTTGCACAGATGTGCAGCAGTTCGAGTCGCCACACTTTATGTAGCACACAAAGCAAGAGAAGAAAGTAAAAAGAAATGCAAAATAGAGACAGTAAACAGAGATATAAGGCAAAAAGAATAGTAATATTGAAGAATGATATAGTTTTATTGGATATTATAAGTCACAAGGAGTGGATGCATCTGCACAAGCCAATGAGAACAACTTTGAGCCATATCACCAATTGTCTCCAGCCTTGATTGGTTTTTACTATCCTAAGGACCCCAACCCACAAGTCTACACCTTCACACGTGACTTAAACTAACTGTTATGGATTTCGTGGACGGATGAAGCCATGTTTTGGTTTGACCACCACTGGCTAGCTCCTTTCCAACCTGATCCATTCTGTGCCAGTCAGCTAACATTGCCTATTGTCGAGGAGGGCGATCGATGGCTAGGCGTGCCTAACATACACCGTACATATCTCAATCGATGTAACTTCACAACATTGTTGATTGATTTTCCCTCCTTACCTAGCACTCGACCGATGCCTAACCTCAATATCGCTCACCTGATTAAACGACCCAACACGGGAGATAGAAACACAGACACCTATGTTGAAAAACAGCTATCCTCCTGATGTCTTCCACTTTCGGGGGTCATGTGTCACTCACAGACATAAAGGAGGACGGAGCGGACCGCCGAACAGTACACTCTACCTTTATTTGACAGCCAGCTGGATATCATGTCTACCGAGGCAGAGACGGCGTAAACTGGCATATGCGAAACTAGCCTTGTGAATCCATGCTGAGATTTCGCCAGCGATCAACCCGCTGGTACTGGCTGATGCAGCTTTCCGAATAAGTGAAGTGGTCAACACGCTCTACCACTTCATTGCCTATCTTTAAGCTAGGAGTAGTCGGTGTAGTGAAGTCCTGTAGCATTATCTTACATTTGGCGGGAGCGAATTGCATGACAAACATTCGCAGATTGCAGCTCCTCAAGGTGTTCAGAAGACTGCTCTGTTTTGTCAGCGTCTTCACCTAGGAGGGAGGACTGTATCATCTGCATATCGTAAGTCAACGAGATTATTCCCTGATGGTAACAAGTGAATCGCTGAGTCACTGAAGTCACTTGGGGTTAAGTCTATTACTACATCTATGATGAAATTGAATAGAAATGGGGACAGTGGGTATCCCTGAAGGACATCACTGGTTGTCACCACTTCAGATGACAACTCGCCGTAAGCTATCAGCTGGCTGACTGCATGAGTTTGAGTAGAGTGATTGGCTTGATCAGTGCAATGTATTTTCTCGACATTCCCTTTACAGTTGAGCATCTCCATAGTGCTTTTTAGTCGACAGAATCAAATGACACCTTTATGTCAAGAAATATTACGACGCTGGTGAGTATTCTTATGTCCCAGAATCTGTCTTAGGGTGAAGATGTGGTCGATGCACCCTCTCCCTGATCAAAAGCCTGCCGTCTGGTTGTTCCTCCTGTGGACCGCTTAGTCTACGCAGTATTTTTGAGCCTAGAACTTCAGGTATCACATTAGTCAAGCTGATCCCCCTGTCATTATCTCAGGAATACTTGTCTTCCTTCTTATGTTCCGGGATAACGAATGACTTACATCAACCCGACGGGACTATCTCTGATTCCCAGGCTAGGCCTAGTACCATAGTTAACTCAGACAGTAAACTGTCTCCACTATACTTAAATACCTCTGGAGTATCTGTGATCCGAAACGAGCTGAAACAGGAGTATCTTACAGTAGGACCATAGAGGTGTATAAGCATGGCACGGATGAACCATTGTTCAGGTTACCAAAGATGTTAGGTGATATATGAGAATCAGAGATAATGCAGTTATTATATATTATTATGTTTCTTTTTAGTTCAAGTGAAACGTAGGGTTTCAACAGTACATCTCCACCTTGCCATCTTCTTTGCGCTCCTTTTCAGCTGGCCTCACTATCTCCATAGTCCCTCATCTCCTCCATGTCACTCTACGATCTTCGTACAACTCGTCGTTTTCCATTCGGTTTCACTGAGACGGTGGCCTGGAGTGCAATGTCATTCTGTAGTCTCCTCAGCGTGTATCCCATCCATCTCCATTTTCTTCTACATAATGTCGAGCATTCGGTTCTTAGTTGGTTTACTTCCATAGTTTCGTGTTGCTTATTGTTTCTGTCAATGCGTCGGTGCATAGCGTGGTCGCAGCCCGGCGACGCACTCTTTACCTTACTAAGCCAGAAATAATGCTGGTAAAGGGGAAAAGTTGGGCATGAGGCTAGCAACCCATCCTGTAAAATAACACTGCTACAGAAACTTCAAGCCACTAGCTTGAAGCCCTATGTTCCACTTTGGAACGTGAAGGATAAACAGGCAGACCGGCCGGTTCGCTGGCCATTTGATCTACAATATGGAGGTAGAGAAGGGAGTTGTTAATAAAGGTCTGCAGGAGTCTGTTAGAAGTGCTTCTTTTTGACTCGCACTGGCCGAGTTTCCGACTAATGTAGAAGAAGTGAATGTTGTGAATCGGAATTTAGCTGTTTATTGTGACTGAGTTGAGAAGATTTCCCAAGTGATTTGAGAGTGATGAATGTGTGTGTGTGACTTGCGTTTCTGATGGTGGTTTTGACGTCGTTATCACTGTGGCGTTCCTGTAGTTGAAACGACGCCTCATCAATAAATGATTTGCTTTTCATGAATCCATCTTGTTCGTTGCTGGAGGATTTCTGCTTCCAGGGTATCTTTTAGTCTCTGGAGGATTACGCGACTTGGTATTTCACTTGGCGTGGAGTCGAGCATGGTTTCACTGCAGAAGCCCCCAATTCGTGCCTTTTTTGTTGTTTGACGAGGTAGTTTATCTTCAATTTGATAGGTAGCTTTGCTTTCTTGCATACTATTCGCAATAGTGTTGACAGCATATCCACTGTGATTCTGTTTTTCAGTGGTTTATTGGAGTTTCATGTGGTTCTGCTGCCTTGTCAACTGGTTGGCTTTCATTTGGTTGATTGTACTCAAGACTTGTTGTTTTATCGCAGCTTTGGTGTCCATTGATATTTGTTCAGTGCCCGCTGTTGGTGGTGGTGTATTTGTTAACGAGTTGCAGGTGGTGGTGATGGTGGATTGAAGAGTCGTTTGAAGTGATCAGACTACTGTTTTCTTAGTTTGTTCTCTTTGGTAATGAGGTTCCCTTGAGCATGTTTTCTTATTGGTTTGATTTGTGGTGAACTCTTCCAGGATATGGACTTGCTTATCTGATATCATGTCGTGGGGTCTCTCTTGCCAGAGGTGTTTTCTGCTTCGGTTGACAATGATTTGTTGAATTGTCTTCTGTCTTTTTCACTTGCATATTGAGTGAGATGTACATTGTACTCAGCTTCTCTTTGTGTTGTCCATCTTTGCATTGGTTCATCTTGTGTTGCATGATCTTTCTGTTTTTTTGTTTGTCTTCTGGTAGGTGTCCAATGTGAACGGTTTCTTGTGTTGCCTGTCTTTTCTTTCTAGAACCGTTGTACATGTTTCCTTGAAGATGACTTCCAGGGAGTTCTAGTGTTTTTCCACGTTGATATCCTCAGTGTTGTCACGTTGGACTGGTTTAAATCATTGCTAATCCCAGTCGATTAGATTGGAAACAAGGCTTCCCTACCAGCTTTAGGCCAGGAGGAGGAAGTGTTGATCATATCTTAACACAGACAGATAGTAATAACAGTGGCTTTATTTCTAAAGTGAAGTTTCAATACAATGTATAATTTATAACACGTAATACAATATTGCATCTGGATTTCTCTTTACATTACATATTGAAAGGGGAAATAACCAATAGGACATTTTCATTGATAAAAATGTCAATAGAATTATGAATATTCAAATGTCTAGAGGATTTCATCATAAGCTGATATGGGTTATAGAACTTTTGGAAAAACCTAGTTGTCCAGAACATCTGTTTCGTT